TTTAGACGGGGGTAATACAACAGTCAATTTACTTTTTTATTTATTTTTCATTTGGCTTCACTTATTCAGATACTTTTACCAATAAATTTCCGAAGACAACAGTTCAACTTTTATATCAATAATTTTTGAACACTTTTTTTACCTAACGCTTCTACCGTGTTTCACATTGAGGCTTAACCCTCTTTCTTAACACGTTTCTCTTGTATCGTTCGCTGAGTTGAAGCAAAAAACAGCACATAAATTTGTTGACACAACCCAAAAAATGATATTATATCTACTCAAAATTTCCTACAAAACCAAGTTGAGACTGTGGCATGCACGTGGTACAAAATAAAAGTTAAGGATTTTTTCCCAATAACCTGGCACGGAAAACTAAAAATTTCCCCTCTCATGTTAGCAACACCATGTTACCATTCTTATGTTGCCATTATCATAGCCTTTAACTACTGATGTTAGCTATGGATTATCCTACGCATCGCAATTTATATAAAAGAGTTTGAAAAATAAATGAACGGCAGCATCTTCGACGTTAAGAATCGTGATAAACAATTCTTTAACGGTTATCTACTCTGAACTGTTAATGTCCACATACTTTAAAAATAATGACATTGTTCCCTGATGACTTATGTCAGGTGTACAATCCAAAATTTATTTGCCGGCTTTCTTCTGCATCTCAAATTAATTCACTTTTTTCTGTACCCACGGTATCTAGCGCATAATGTTGTGTTTTAACTGTTGTTTATGCGTTTGTTAATCCAGTATCAGTTTCACTTAATCCAGTGTCAGTTTCACTGTTCTGCACAGATTGCGCTTACATTGGCAATATAGTTTTGAACCTTGAGCCACTTTTATGTTTTCAAACGCATTGGTGTTTACATGTTCTTATTCTACAAGTATGAACTTCAGCAAAGAATCTCTTGTAGCTGCCTCAGATTTTCATTCTTCTGCAAATTTCCCCTTTTGAGCTCTCCAGTGGGCACAAGACGTGGTTTGACGTTTAAAAACAGCATTTATATTTTAATACGTATTTTAAACGTCTCGAACACGTCTTGTAAAAAAAGATATTTGCGTGACATTGTCAATAATATTAAAAAACTAGTCATTTTTTTATAAACAATTTGATACACAGAACAACAGATGTGTGCTTTTCACACTAACACTTAAAAAAAAACTTTTACTTTTTTTCAGAAATAGCTGAAAACATTTTTAATACTATTTCCTTAACAGAAATTTAGGGTTCGTTGGTTTATTTAACGAACACCAAGTTTCTGTTAAGTTTGTGTTTTAAATAATTCGAACTTAAATCTCACTGTTTCTAAAAACACTTAATTAGAAAAACATTAAAACAAGGTGGAAGAGTTTTGATTTACGTCGAAAATAACATTTTTTTTCAATGATTTCTGATTGTTTGAAATTCTGACGGTGATTAAGTAAGAGTTACTATTTAAATATTGGTCAATAGAAATAAAATTATTCTTTTAACCAGTGCCGTGAGCAGTGGGTTGGTGGCCAAACCTCCCTTAAACCTGTCATTAGTGCCCCTAGATCTTTCCATTCGGTATTGTATAAAAAACGTTAGATTAGCAAAAGAACCCCTAAATTCGCCAAGGTGGGAGGAGGAAGTAGCCTAGCAACAGCACTGCCTTTAAGGCAACCTGTCGGTGCGCGCGAAAACAAAAAGATCAGAAGTTTTCTCTCGCAGAGCCATAAGTTAAATAAAAAATTAAAATAGAGTATTAAATTTAATGAAAATTGCCTCATAAATCTTAAGATCTCTCCTACTTCTGCTTTAAAATAAATTTAGCGTTGTGTAAGTTACGGACGATATCTTATGCTATCTATATCACTTGAACGTGCAAATGGCTTCTATTATTACTACTACTACTACTACTACTACTACTACTACTACTACTACTACTACTACTACTACTACTACTACTACTACTACTACTTTTATTTATTGTATTTACGAGGCCGTCAGTATTTTCAGAGAATTTGCGTAATTTAATTTTTTAATTGTAGTATTTTTAGATACTAGTTTGTTCTAGAGGTAAGGGCCGCAATAAGACGTGATAGTTTTGTTTTTTATTTAGTACATTAGAATTTCCAATTCCTTGAGTGACATATATCTATTTCTATTACATTTAAAAAGCTCTTTAAAAAAATATGATGGGAGAAGTTCAAGTTTATATTTAAAAGTGAACAATAAGTTTTGATAGATGTTAATTTTATAAAGGTTTAGTGCATTAAGAAGTTTTAGCAAAGGTTCAACATGAGTAAACTTATCTTTATTAAATACTATTCTTGTAGCATGCTTTTGATATCGATAGAATGTCACTAGGTTGGATCTATGGGTACTTTCCATAGGTATGATAGGTTTGAATGAAAGAAAAATGAAGTTGCTTTAGACTTTTTTGGGGTAATAGCTTTGTAAACCATACAAATGTTGTTTCTTATTTTAGTATTTAAAAATTTATGTGAGCTTTCCATTAAATATTCTCATCGATAAGTATACCTAAAAATTGTGTTGCTTTGGTTCTTTTAATATTTTTATTTTCTATTTTTAGAAATGGTAATATAATTCCCAAGCCCCTTTAAATAATTGGCATAGATTTTTTTCTTTGATTGGAATGGAATAGAATGTAGTTGGTTTTTTCTGTATTCAATGATAATTTGTTAGATTTAAATCAAGTATTAAGTCTTTTAAATCAATACTTGCAGTTTCAAAGAGTTCTGTAAAAGAAATAGATGAATAAAGTAAATTCATCTGCAAACATTATTGCATTGTGTTTTTATTTGCATACAAACCATACTTTTTTGATATGTATACTAATATATTCTCGTATAATAATGTACAATAATGTAAAACGTGCTCAAGAAGTTACAAAGTTCGCGTAGAAGCAAAGTAAGAGTTAGAGAACGCAAATAACAAGAAGTCGTTGCCGCGCTAGTGAGCGCTGCAGGCATCGAGTTTGTTTGAGATTTTTGGAAAATCATTGATGTGTAGCAACAAGAATAAAGGAGCTAGAATAGAATCTTAGGGAACTCCGCATTTAATTTTAGGCACTTTTGAATGGATATTTTTATCCGTAATAACAGATTGCTGTCTGTTTATAAAAGACCTCTCAAACCAGTGTAAAGCAACATTTTTAAAGCCGCATTTTCCAATTTTTTAAAGTAATATAGAATGATTAACAGTATCAAATGCTTTTGATAGGAGTCATTTATTTTATTTACAAAATCTAATATTGCATGTTCAGTTAAATGTTGCTTTTCAAATCAGAAGTGTTTTTTATTCAAAATATTGTTATTAGTTAGATATTTATATAGTTTATTGTAACTATTCGTTCTAAAAGTTTAGAAAAGACTGGAAGGATTGAGATGTGTCTGTAGTTATTAAATGAAAATAGCTCTCCGGTTTAAACATTGGTACAACTTTTGAAATTTTTAATTTGTTTGGAACAGTCGCTGTAGTAATTGAAGGTTTAAAAATTATGAATATGGGTTTGCGTATCACCGGGAAGATACTTATAACTACGTTGAACTATTAAACAAATATATTATTCTATATTTGCTGACAACTTAGGTATAAATCAAAGAAAATATCGTTACGATCATTTCACAATTGCCTAAGTAATTTTTTCATGGTTTGAGAAATTAAAAGAAAACTGTAACATAAAAAAAAAAAAAAATCGCTATTTTTTATCCTTACATCACAATAAAACAATTAAAAAAAAAAACTATTTTCTTATTGGTTTAAGATTTTATATAACAGAAGACTGTCTAAACTATACATTTCAACCATCAAAAGCTCCCAAAAATGACCGAGGCAATTGCGAAATCATCGTGACGACATTCAAAATAATCACATCTTTCCTAGCAATTTAGATTTTGAAGAAAATATCAGGAACTTATTATTTTAAATATAGTACACTAATGAAATGACATATAATAATTATTACACAATAATTTGTTTTGCTAACAAATGAACAGTTTTATAAAAAATATTTCTATCATTGATTTTTTGACATTGCTTTTGAGCTAATATATAACGGATAAATTTATTTAAAGTTAATTGTCAAATGACTAACATCAAGATTGTTTGTATTGTACATATGTATTTGATATGTCGTTTATAATACCGTTTTATTAAAGGAAGTCATTATTTGTAAGCGAGAACAAATGTCAGCATAATAGAAATCTTATTAGCGAAATCTTATTTTTATATGTACTTATTTTGTAATTTGTCTTGCTTTTTTAATAACTATTGTTCTTTTTTTTTGGTCACTCTCTGTATTAATACTTTTTGTTGTTTGTTTGTTTTTTGCTTTATTTGTTTATTACATTAAAGTATCACTCCAATGACTAGTTTTTAACTATACGGGTGACACCGAATCAATTTAATAAAATTATAAATTTGTAATTTTTTTTCAACTTTATGGTTAAATAAATAAATATATAAGCGTAGTGTTGCGCACGCGCTTTAAATCTTATTTTGAAGGATGACAGGTTGCCGGTTCCAATAAGGATATGTTTTTTAAATTTTAATGTTTTATTTTCAAGCAGTTTTATGTTTTAACTATCATTATTGTTTATTTATAGTTATTATTTACTTTTATTTTTCAAAGTTTCATAAAATAAGTGCATCATGATTACTTTATCGACTGATTTAGTTGTAGTCACAATGGAGTGACTATCTCTATTTAAATCAGTCATCCACTGATTTAAATAGGGATAGGCACGGTAAAGTGTACATACATTGACTGAGGGTTTATTTTTAAGCAGGCATTCTTTAAAAGAAAAGTATTTTAATATTTATTTAAATAGGGTTTATAAATTAATTTAATTAATAAAATTATTAGGTTTGATTATAAAACAGATTTAGAGTGGCTTAATTTATGAACGATCTCTAACTTATGTTTAAATACGCGCGTATAACTTAGAAAAAATGAGTTGTACGCGCGTACAAATTATGCATACATATATAAATACGCAATGAATCAATTATCCGTTTATTCTAATATTACAATAAGATATTCAAAAATAAAATTCTACACGAAGATTCGCATTCTGCTGTAACTGCTACTTCTAAATAGTAGTATTCTGGAGATCAATAAAATATAACCGTTTTTAACGGAATAAACAAACTATTATTTTTAATCAAATATAAAATACAAATCAAATGAAATTTGGCGAATTTTAAAAAGTATTTTTGGTAAAAAATACAAAAAAACAAATGTTTAGTTACAGCACTAAGAACGCTAAATCTACATCACCATAATATATAGCTATAAATATAAATACTAATCGCTCTACAGTCGCTATGGAAACAAAATGTATAGTAACAACAACACCTATTAACAATATCAAACAAGAGTTTTTTAAAAAAAGACCAAAATGAAATAAAAAATATATATATATATATATAAAATTTATCGTTCTATTTTCATAACGCCAAACTTTTATCTTACAAAGCCTATTATTATTTCACATATCTTGCTTCAAGGTTTTATAGGTACTTAAATTTGCACAATCCAGTTAACTTTCATCCATTGGTTCCTCTTTTTTATTTGATAAATTCGGGACTCTAAAAAAAAAAGTGCAACGTCATTGACAACATTATACTAAAATCAGCGACATACGCAATTAAAACATACGACTGAGTTTGATTTTCAGACGATACTATCTATATATGAAGGACTTTTATAGGTAAGATTATACGGCAATTTTATGCGGCAAAAAAAAAATGTTTTCCTATCCTTTTTTTCTTTTTCTGCAAAAAAACTGGGTAAAATGCAGAAAGTTTACGCACTTGACACATTACCTCATACCGCATTTTACCCGCGTCCGCATAACGACAACATATTAAAAATTTAAAGATGTTTAAATAATTCAAGTTGTTTCAGAAGACTTGTTACTTAATTTTAACATTGCATTTTAACGTATTTTTTTTTAACTGATCGACATACGCCTTTGGATGTTATGTAGAATTAAACGGATAATAAAATATTTTAAATGCTAGTTTAGTTCTGCATTTTAATAACACAACAAGCATAATTTATAAAGAACAGCAAAAGTTCAGTGAAACCCTTTTTAAAATAAAAAAATAAACTTTTGTATTGTAGCATCTTACTGTAATAAATATATTAATTTTATTTTCTAGAGGTCTGTATTGGAAACCGTGAAAGGGCGGATTAGCTAAAAAAGTTTTGAGCAAATCCGCCCTTATAAAAAAACAAATTCATTTATTCGGAACAAAAACCGTTTTAAATGGATATGTTGCCATAGTGATATTAATCTGCTTTAATAAATACTTAAGGAATCGTTGGTTGGAAAAGCTGGTATTAATTAAATTTAGATGAACCGAAAGATTGTTTGTGATCAGGATGGGAGGGTGGGAAGGTTTGAGACCAGAATGGGAGGGCGGGGAGGTAGGCTTAGATGTTTAGAAGCCAAGGTTGGAGGCCAGAATGAGAGGACAGTGAGGGAGGATATGATTACAGAACCTTTTTATAAAGTATAAACCATTCAATCACATTTTCTAGTAGGAATAATATTTAAAAAGAAAACCACCCCATTACTTTTTTCTCTTTTTGTTTTGAGAACTGAATAAATCATTAACTGAAATATAAAAAAAAACACAAAATTTATCGACATTTGTTAAAACTGTGATGTAAAATAACTACTCTTGTTGGTATTTGTCTTGCAACTAAATTTTTAATCTCTGTTTTTTAATCTATAACTAACTTTTTTTATATTTAAAAATAAAACTTGTATGAATTTCACAACACAAAAGAAACATGGATGTTATGTGTCAACATAAAAAATATATGGATATAAAGCAGATCAACATAAAAGATGCAGATATGAAGCATATCGACATATAAATGACACATAGATACAAAGTCAATGAAAAAAATCTTTGAACTTTTATCTAACAACGTATAAAAAATATGGGTATAAAAATATGGGTATAAAAAATAAAATATACACGTATATCACAATATAAAAGCGCATTAACATAAAAGAAACATAAATATGTGCAAGAATCTACATGAACTCTTTTTAATATTTATGAATCATTGGTTATTCTTTATTTCATACACTAACGTTTTATCTTTTTTTTATCAAAACAAAAATACTTGAGTACAGGAATTTATATTTAATTTAAAGAAAGGTTAAATACCTTGGCTACAACTTTTACAACAAACATTTAAATTCTTATAAAATTTAAAAACATAATTAAATTATTATTATGTTTTTTTAGACCAATCAAATAGCACCTGCATTTTTAGTCTTAATACATCAACTAAAAAAAACAAAATCATTCTTGAAATCACTTTCATTAAGTCAAACAAAAACTTAATTGTCAATTAAAACTATCAACCTTAACATTTTTTCTATTGATACACAACCTCAGCTTGAGCTTTTTGGAGCTTTTACAACAATGTTTGTCATTTTTAAATGTTATGCAAGATTTAAATTATTATTTTCTGGTAAATGGCTTTTTAATCATTACTAGAAGACTTAACGGTCATGTCACAGAGCAATGCTGTACAGTATTTAACTTGAAAATTTATGACGCATATATGGCCAGAACAGGTATTAAACCTCGAATATCTTGATTCTGAAACAAGTTGTTTGTTGAAAATAAAACCATAGTAATAAAATCTGCTTAAATAAAAATAATTTGTAAACTCAAACTATTATTTACTAATAGTCACAGATATTTTTAATCCTATTTATAATCCAGATAGTAAAATCTGGTTTTATTTCATTTAAATTTGGTTTTATACTCACATCTGGAATTTTTATTGAACAAAGTTTTAAAATCCACTTTAATAGACTTTAATTCTAAAAGTAATTTGGCTCTGTACAAGTCAAGGTAAATTTAGACAAATACCAAAACTATTTTGCACCTTAAGGCCTATTGAGTGAAAACCTCTGAGAATCAATAGAACACTAAGCATTAATAGAAACGCAGATTTCTATTAATGCTCAGTGTTCTATTGATTCTCAGAGGTTTAATAATGACAATAATTTAAGCTATTAATTTTTGATTTAGTTAAAAATCAACATCAAAAATTAATAGCTTAAATTATTATTGCTATTAATTTATTTTGAGAGAGAGAGGGGAAGTGGGTTAAATGGTGTGTATTGAAATTTTATATCTGCTAAATTCATCGTTGAACCAAAAAATTTAATGACCTTTGCCTCACTGCCTGCATCTAAGGCACATTAAAACCATTATGTTAAACAGTTAATAATCAAAATTGATTGTCATAACCAATATTGATAGATGATCTAATTCGGGCATAGTTAAAGAGATCAAGGCAATCTCCAGAGATTTTAAAAATTAGAACCAAAGATGTCATTTTCCAGCAGGCATAGAAACAAGATTCAGTTAAACACTTATAAATTTTTTAGAGTGTTATAGAGTACACTTTTGTAAGGGTGTGACAAGATTGTTGTCTGGAACACAAGCTGTAGTTTAAGTGGGAAATAATTTTAGCAACATTAGCAGGAGTGTGTGATTCAAGATCAGATTCAAGATCTAATGACCACACACACTCTTACAAAGCAAATAGTTCTTGTTTATTATTGGAGAAATAAGAAGACCAAACCCATGAATGAGAGATGGAATGTTAGACTTGCTTTCAAAGAACTTCCAAAAATATTTAGAAACAAATTTCTGAGATAAAATATACAATTTAGTAATCTGAAAATAATGGATTTTAGCATCAATCAATTTCTTGCAATAAGAAAAAAATGCTTGTTCTCCAAAAGGTTGCTCTTGTGGATAAGATAAAAAAAAAATGATTACAACCAGAAATAATAAAAAGGTTGCTTTTGTGGATAAGATAAAAAAAAAATGATTACAATCAGAAATAATAAAAAGGTTGATCTTGTGGATAAGATTAAAAAAAAAAATGATTACAATCAGAAATAATAAAAAGGTTGATCTTGTGGATAAGATAAAAAAAAAGAATACAATTAGAAATAATAAAAAGGTTGATCTTGTGGATTAATTAAAAAAGGATTACAATTAGAAATAGAGCTGTACAAGGTGAGACATATGAGGCAAAGTGAGAATTGATTTAACAAGAGAGGGCATCAGAAACGACATCAAAAAAAAGTACTATCTTGTGAAAAAATAGATAAAAAACAGCAAAAAACAAAAAACAAAACAGTAATAGAGTGTATGGTAAACGAAAGCAAATAAAAGAATTATTAGAGAATTCAATCTCGATTTCATGAACAATAGGTGAATTTATAAGTATATCCCAGACCAATTATGTGATTTTTTTAAGAGTTTTTGCAAAGATCAAGTCAGGTTTAGGATCATCAGGATCACCTTGCTATTGATAACATGTCCAGTACATGTCCTTTCACTCACTTTTCTAAGCAAAGAATATATTTCTCTGATTTAACTGTTCTTTTATTTACCTTTAAAAAGCATCTTCTCACTTGATCTTTTGTTAGTTTAATCTTTTGTTTATTTACCTTTTAAAAGCATCTTCTCACTTGATATTTTGTTAGTTTAATCTTTTGTTTATTTACCTTTTAAAAGCATCTTCTCACTTGATCTTTTGTTAGTTTAATCTTTTGTTTTCAACTCTTCAAACAAAGCATCACTTAAAACAATCATTAAAACCTACACTATCTTTTATTTATTTTGTGTTCTCCTCTTCTCATGAAAATACTCTTTTGATGTTATTTTTTATTAAAATTTTGTCTCAGCTTTTTTTATGATATTATTTCTGTTACCCTCTCACTTTATCAATTAGCCAATACTAATGTTCTTGGTGACTTGAATATTTGTCACATTGAATAAATTGACTCTAGTTCAACCAGTATTTCATAGGAAGAGGATCGCACGCAATTATATGACCATGCAAAAAATACTTTGTTTTGACAATTTGACCACGGCTTTCAACATCTTTTTAAAATTTAAAAAAACTTATCTAAAAAAAATTTATTTAAATCATGTTTTTAACTAAATTTTTATTTTTCATTAAAATTTTGTTCATCTTTTTAAATGTATTAACTTTAATTATTCTCATATAAAAATTTGTTAAAGAGATACCATTTGTTAAAGAGAAAATCATTGTTTATAAAAACAAAATAATTCGCTAATATAATAACGTTTGTTAAGAAGTTTTGATGTAATTTATTTCACCTAAAGTACAATTCAGAATATTTTTCATTCAGCGTGTTTTTAAAATGTTTTTTGAAATAATCGTGGTCAAACCATCCAAGCAAAATGTGATTTGCCTGGTCATGTAATGACGTGTGATCGCATGTCATTATATGACCAGGGTCAGTTGTACAGTCTTTCCTGTAAAAGACTGTACAACTGACCCTGCTGGCATAAAAGTTCAATATTTTTGCTTTTCATTTATCTCAAACACAGATATTTAACTTTTTGACTTGCTTTCCAAAAAACCATTCAATTACATTTACTCCTTGATTTATGTTATAAGGCCCTATTATAAGGCCCTATTTTCTGAAACCATGCTACGGTCTCACTAAACAATTTTAACACTCCTTACGGACTCAATAAATCTTAGCTAATGAAGTCAATTA